CCGCTACAAAAACCTTGCCATGCAGAACCATTACAAGCAAATACTTTGAATGAATTTGAAGGGATTCTAACCTTAAGTAAAGCTTTCATTTGTGGAAAGACTAGTTACGTTGGAGAAGTACCAGCAGCAGCTTTTTCTTAAATGTCAATGAATCCAAAGTCTGGTGTTGCCAGACTTTACCATTTGTCACGAATTAGAGAAACCATTAGGAAAGTCCAAAGTTTCTAAAGTTCAGAATATTAAAAAAAAAAAACAACCCAACTTGTATTCTGATAAAAAATGTAAATATAATATATGAATTTGGATACCCACCATGTTTCTTACATTACTGAAATAATTATGAAACTTTCCCTAAAAAAAAGAATGTCTCTCATTTTGTACAACTCCTGTAAAGCTTTTACAGTAACTTTTGGTTTTAGAAAGATCATAAAATGTGGTTGTGATCTAGTCTGACTCCATTTAAAAAAAAAATACATTTTACAGATTACACTCTTAACTGATGTGCACTTCATCTTGCATCAGGCCTTCCTGGCTTCAAATTTACAGCAACTTTGAAAGAAAAGTTCATCTAATTCCAAAAGGAATATGGATGTTGACTTGCATTTTGTAATTGTGATTTTTATAATATTTAATATCACTCATTTTACTATATTTTTCTTTGGTTTTACTCCTTAGAAGCTTAACAATGGAATATATTTGAAATCTAAACTGAAGTGATGCCTCGAGCTTTTGCTGTTTTAAGTCCTAATGATGTAGCTTGGTCTCCTAACTTCACCTTAAATTGGCTTCAGATGTGTGAGTTGGGTCTGTGCACTATTTTCACCCTTTAAAGTTCATTATCCCCCTAACTTAATTGAGGGGCTCTGTCTTGGTTTTTCTCTTAGATTGCGTAAGCGCTTGTCTATGTCTGAATCCTCACACACGGAGAGTGACTCCAGCCCACCCTTGACAGTTCGCCGACGCTGCTCAGGACTTCTCGATATGCCCCGTTTTGCCATTTCCGCTGAGGATGAGGGAACTGTTCTCAAAAGGCCGCAGTCTGAGGGGATGCTTTTGTCCGCCGTGCAGTCACGGGAGGGGCTGCCGGTGCCCATTCCAGAACAGCCTGTGGAGCAGGAGCTGCAGTTAGAAGGTGATGCTGGACCCACCACCCCCTCCACAGCCATCAGCAGCTCCTCAACCCTGACAGGTACGTGCTCGGTTTGGTGATGTCGTGCTCTCCAAGAAAGCTGTGTTAGCTTGCAGATGTTAACACTGTAAAACTGCAGATTTGCCTGTCGGGTGATATGAATGTCTCATGCTAAGTGGTTATTTTAGTATAGTTTTGTGGATGTGCTTGCCTTTGAAATAATACCAGTGGTTTAGTCTCTTCAAAATTACATCTTACATTTCAGTCCTGTCCCTTCAAATTGATTAAGTTCTTCTCATGCTTGAGACCCGTACGATCTATGCCTAGTTACAACCATGGGGTGCCTACCTGAGGCAGCATTATTTTAAGCATTAGTCCATTAGAGCAGATCACTGCTGAGTTGGAGCTGGAGAAATGTGGGTGTCAGCCATACTAACAGATAACTGCTTCCTATGGTTTTATTTATCCAAAAAGTTTGGAGCAGAGACTTGAAATTTGCTGGGGTTTGTGTCAGGGACATGCTACATGCTGTCTCAGCCAAATATCCCAAAATTTATCCAAGTTGCAGGCTTAAGAAAGTACAGCCTGAGTTTAGTAGAGTGGGTCTAGAAGTCAGTGTTTGACTTCTCAGAAGCTTTGACTCTCCTGGGGCAGTTCTCCAGCACTGGGCTGAGCTGGACCTTCCCTGTGATGGTGCCCTGGGCTGATGCTGTACAGGACTGGGCTCTGGGTGTTGGAGTGTCCCCAGCTCCTGCCCCTTTCAGGTCACTGGGAAGGCAGAGGGTGAAGCTGCCTGTTTCTGAGAACAGAGGAGGCCAGAGCTGGGAACTGGTGGGAAGTAGTAAGGAGGAAAAAAAGGAAATTTGGACCAAAGGAAGAGAGAGGGATAGTTGAACTGGAAGTTGGCAAGCTAATATTTGAGAAGGAAGGCATATTTAGGGGAAGAACTAGATTGTAGTGTGGAAGAACAAGGACTAATTAACTGGGTAAGAAACTAAGAAACAAGTTGCTGGGAGAAACTGGGAGCAAGCAGGCAAAGCAGTTGTGATGCATTGAGAAAGGAAAGGAGAGGAAAGGATTACTGAGCAAGGAGTCAGAGTGGCAGCAAGACTGGACAAGGTGAAGGGCACTGGGCAGATGTGATGGTGGATTGATAGCAGAAGGTGGAAATGCCTTAGAGGAAATTAGCCTGCAGACTAGAGTAAAGCCAAAGATCCCCACATCTCATCATTCCTCTTCTGCGGTCCAGTCTGTGAAATTCCTTCAAAATTGTCCTGTTCCCCTCGATGGCTCATCCTCCTGTATGAGGCCCAGTGCTGCCATCATGTGCTCCATTAACCCACGGGAAAAGGTATAGGAGTGGAGGAAGTCAGCCACCACATACTTGGATGACATAGGTACCATAATGGAACCTTAGTTTCTCAGTTTCATACTAAAAGCCTAGAAACATGCTACTAAAAATTGCAAGAACACTTTCATTGCAAATTTGAGTATCTACAAGTTGAAACAGACAAAAATGAAGCTTCCCTGGGCAGCCTGCTCCCCTGAGCCTAATGTATTAGGGCAGTCTATAATCCGGCGCATAGGACTTGGGGATATCATTGCTTCAGTGTCCCCAACCTATGAAGTTAAGTCAGAGGCAGGGGACTGCAAGAAAGGAATTTAATTCCTGTCACTGTCTCTGAGTGCTCCTCTAATGTATATCACAACCTTTTCACATGCAGCCTCTGATTCTGGGTTCCTCATTGTCTGGGAGCCTTATTTGAAACTTTAGATGGCTGTTAGATGTTGAACAGGCATCTGGTACTGAGGTCTATGGGAATGGTGCTTTGAATTTTTATTTTCATGGTACTTCCTGCTTTACTTAGTATGCAGAGCAGCAGTGCCCACTTAAATAACAATGATCAATGTTTTGTTCTGTCCTCATTGTTCAAAATGTGGCCCTTAGGCTTTATTTATTGCATGCTGCTTAAAATTTGCTTTTGAGGACGGAATGATTAATTTCCCTTGTGAACTTGCTATGATGCTCACCACTTTCATTTCTAAGTACCTTGTAAATTCTAATTAATGTATTTTCCCAGTGCCCCTTTAAGGTATCAGATGGCGAACTGGGGCACCAAGCTTGAGTACAGCACTCCCAGCCCCCAGCATCTGATATTGTTACATGCCCAGTCTGATTTTCAAGATTACTTTGCATTTTATAGATAATTATAGCAGATTAAGTAATTCAGGACTAAATTGCAACAGTGCACAGAGGGGGGCAAATTAAGCTTGTCTTTGCAATCCGCATTTTTACTTTCCCTGACTTTAGTACCTTAGTATTCTCTTAAAGTGGATTTTTTATGTGCAACTCCAGTAGAACCTGGCTTTTCTATTATGGGCAATTTTACCTTAAGATTGACAGTTCTTGCTGGTTGTAAAAATGGACCACTTTCCATAAACCTGTTTTCATCTGTGAACACTCCCATTGAAATAGCTTGCCTGCAGAACTGCACCGCAGCTGTAGGATTCATGTAACTGCTACTGAGGAATGTGATTTCATTAGTGAGCTTTTCCAACAGAACAGAAGCTGCTAATTTTCTGTATTCAGAATAACACCTTTTCTGTAAATAAAAATTCAAGCACTGGGGTTTCTTCTTAGGAAAATTTACTCTTGGACTTCATGTAAACATGACTTTGATTTAATGTATTTTGCCTGTAGGGGAGTAGGCTGTTAGGAATTCCCTGTGGTTCTAATCTGTTTTAATTTAAACTGTAGCTGGGAGCACTGCAGATTTCTCTGATCCACGAGCTCGCAGTAATAGCAATGAAGGCCCAGACTTTACCACTCCAAAAGCCATCAGCGATTTGGCAGTGCGGCGGGCACGACACAGGTTGCTCTCTGGGGAATCAGGGGAGAAACGTACCTCAAGACCTGTCAATAAAGTGATTAAATCAGCATCTGCTACTGCCTTGTCTCTCCTGATTCCCTCAGGTAAGAAATGCCTCAGGTGAGGCATTGTCAGAATCTGCAAGCACTAAACAAAAGGTCTGCAGACGGATCCTCCCCCTTCGCTCTCTTGGAATTCCACCCTCGCTGGCAGGAGGGGAGAGATCTAACTTTTACAATCTATTTAATATTTACTACCCGGCAGGACAATGAATACTGCTTTGCCACAGACAGGAGCATTGTGTGTGTGGCCTGACTACAG